CATACACATACATGCAACTGATCAACAATCGTTTGCCTTGTGGATCATGGAGGTTTCGATGCTATTGGAAGTCACTTGCATGTGACTGTAGGACAAGTAGTATCAGTGTGTGACGAGGTTAATCAAGCAGGTGTGTTGGCTTCTTATTCCGAGACTCTTTGCGAAAGAGCTTTGTGACTTGCTTACTTGCTTGGCGGTAGCTAGCGCTAGACTTGGCAAGGTGATTGCTTGCTTCCTGACGAGAAAGGCCGCCAAGGGCAAAACGAATATGGTAGAGAAGACTCTTTGAAAAGAAGGGAAGATGAGTGGTGCCATACGAAAGGTACCCGTTGCTGCTTGATGGATGGTCCTCGGTACCTTGGGCCATCTTCATGGATTGACTTGTCTATGTGGATTTGGCAATGCATGTTGTCTTCAGCCGAGGTGGCTTTGTTGAGGGTTTCATTGAGATGTAGAAGTGTGGGGATTTGTGATCGTTGTGCATTGGGTATGTTTATCAGATTGATCGTCCCACCATGAGGCTTCCTGCTTCGTAAGTAATTCGTATGTGGTCTGCCCATATTAGTTTCGCCCGATTTCCATTAATTAGCTTAGTAATTCTCCTTCCCCTTAACTAATCGATGATGCAATTCAGTTGCTTCATTTCAAAAAATAAATACAATGATCATGATGATAAAAAATGGCATAAATGCTCAAATATTTTTCTTGGGAGGATGAGCATTACCTATTTTATAAATTGGTAATGAAATTGGTAGGTGCTTGCTAGGAAGCAAGACCAAAGAAAACCCCCGAGTAACTGCGTACCTGCATGCTCCCAAAAAAAATGGTAGGGTGTTGTGGACGTCTTGCTAGTCCTAACTACTTAGTCATTTGTGTTGTTAACATGTTATGTGATCACTATCTAGTGTAATCTAACTATCTAGTGTTGGCCAATTTCTTCAAGTTGAGCCCACATGCAATAGTATTTTCTGGTTTGTTTGCTTTTCTTTTGGATTTGTACATACTTTGCTATATATCAATGGAAAAACTTCCTTTCCACCATTCCATCCGTCTAACCGATCACATTCTCAGGTCCATGATCACTTGTCTTCATCTCGTCCCCAGTACTCAGTATCGATATTTCTTCCTACTCAATCTCATCCCAATTGAAGGTACTCTAGGCGTCTCACCCATGGTTGCACTACCATTTTGTCATCCACCTGCATTGGCTATACTTCTATTCCTGAGCATCGGTGAGTGACCCCTTCAGATATCGAACCGTAACCTAACCCTATATGTCTTCACCCGTCGTCGACGAGTTTGTCTTCCTCGCTAGAGAAGGAGAAAGGTGGGTTGAGAAGAAATAACTATTAATACATGTATTGTAATTTTCATCAATTATTATTAGCTGTATATGAAATAGAAAAATAAATAAACTGATCGCGCTGTGAATCAAGCATGAGAGAAAAGATCCACATGCATCCCAAAATCTAACAGTTTTCCACTACAAATATGGGTCTAAGACTGGGATTATTATAATAAGAAAAAGAAAAAGGGCAATGAAAAGGACACCAACCTTTAAACCTCCTTCCTTCCCTCGCTCCCGTTCTCTCCTGGTCTCCTTCCACCCGCTCGCCCCACGCGACAATGGTCTACACAATCTCCTCCCTTCTCCTCCTCCTCCCCCCATCTCTCCCCCAATCCAATGTCTCCCAATTTTTCTCGCTCACCTCTAACCCTGCTCGCTGTCCTCCTCGCCCTCCCACCCCTCGTTGCCTCCTCCTCCTCCTTCCCGCTACCCACCATCGCCATCGCCGCCGTCGGCACCAACACCGCCTCCCCGCACTACCTCGCCTGCGGCCTCGTGTCCAACGGTACAGGCTACCAGCTCTCCTGCGCCAGCGTCACCAACCGCTCCGCTAGCCCCCGCAAGTACGGATATGGCGGCGGCAGTAGCACGCCCTTCTCCGCCCTCGTCGCCGGTGATGGGTACCTCTGCTCCGTCGACCCGATCTCCTCGCCGCCCGTGTCCATGCGCTGGTGGGACTTGAATGAAAGCGAGGAACCGTCCAAGAGGGTGTACAGGGGCGAGGCGCTCTCTGCAGTGGCCGGCGGCGGGGAGTACGTGTGCGGGCTAGTGGAGAAGAGAATAAAGTGCTGGAGGTGGGAATGGGGGGTCGTGCCGGAAGAGGTGGGATTCTCGGCGCTGGCGGTGGGCGGCGGGTTTGTCTGCGGGCTGGTGGTCGGGACGGGTGAGCTGAAGTGCTATGGCAATGGGGACGCGGTGGGGCGGGAGCCGAGGGGCAGGTACATGTTGCTCGCCGCCGGTGAGAGGCACGCCTGCGCGGTGGACCACAGAGGCATGCTGGGGTGCTGGGGAGAGGCGGCCGCTGTTGCGGCCGCGGCGCCGCCGAAGCTGATTCGCGCTGTGTCCACGGTGGCGGTGGGCGACGCGCTCACGTGCGTGCTGTGGGGGAACTGGACGGTCTCCTGCTGGCCGGAGGAGCATGCGGCCGTGCCGCCGCAGATATCGCAGGAGCAGTTCGTCGCTCTGGAAGCGAGGGGGAAGGTGGTGTGCGGGGTGCTCATGTCCGACTACTCGCTGGTGTGCTGGGGCGGAGATGTTGCCGGCGGGGTGAGGAAGGTGTTCGACAAGGTCCTGCCGGGTCCGTGCGCGCCGGCAAGGTCGTGCCCGTGCGGCGTCTGGTCGGGCTCCGCGATGCTCTGCGGCGCCAGCGGTGGCGCGGCCATCTGCTACCCCTGCGGCTACACTCCTCCCATGAATGCGCAGGCCCCTACGTCCAACCCGTGGGCGTCGACCTCTCACACGAGGAAGAAGCGGCGGCCGAGCGATCTGGTGATCGCAATGATAAGCTTTGGAACCGGTTCAGGACTCGTGGTCCTCTTAGGCGCGCTATTGGTCGCTTACTGCCTGCGCCGGCGTAGCCGTAGCCGCACCAGCGGCTCCCATGACTCCGGGCGCATCCACGCTGAGCCGATGACAGCTCCGGGGCCGCGCGTGCCGCGGCGGCTCAGCATGCTGCTCTCCAAGGGCCCGAACACGACGGTGGAGCAGTTTCCCCTGGCAGCGCTCCGGTCCGCCACGGACGTGTTCTCGCCATCCCACCGCATCGGCTCCGGCAGCTTCGGCGCCGTCTACCGCGCGTCCCTCCCCGACGGCCGCGAGGTCGCCATCAAGCGCGCGGAGCGGCGTGACTCAGGCGCCTCATCCTCCGCCGCCGCTGCGGCGGCGCGTCGCGTCAACCACGAGTCGGCCTTCATCTCGGAGCTCTCGCTGCTCTCCCGCCTGAACCACAAGAACCTGGTTCGGCTGCTGGGATTCTGCGCCGACGGCGGCGAGCACATCCTCGTGTACGAGTTCATGCACAACGGCACCCTCCACGACCACCTCCACAAGCGACCCGCCACGCTCTCGCCGCCGCTTGCCTCCTGGCCGTCCCGCCTCCGCCTCGCCCTCGGCGCGGCGCGCGGCATCGAGTACCTGCACACCTACGCCGTGCCGCCCATCATCCACCGCGACATCAAGTCCTCCAACATCCTCCTCGACGCCTCCTGGTCCGCCAAGGTCTCCGACTTCGGCCTCTCGCTGCTTAAGAACCTGGGCACCGGAGACGACAATGCCGGCGGCGAGGAGCCGTGCGTCACGGCCGGGACGGTGGGGTACATGGACCCGGAGTACTACCGGCTGCAGCACCTGACGGACAAGAGCGACGTGTACAGCTTCGGGGTGCTGCTGCTGGAGCTGCTGTCCGGGTGCAAGGTGATACAGAGATACGAGGGGAGCGGCACGCCGAGGAACGTGGTGGACATGGCCGTGCCGTACATCGAATCGGACCGCGTGCACCGGGTGCTCGACATCCGGCTTCCGCTGCCGACGCCAGGGGAGATGGAGGCCGTCGCCTACGTCGGGTACCTGGCCGCGGACTGCGTCCGGCTGCCCGGGCGCGAGCGGCCCTCCATGAGCGAGGTTGTCGGCGTGCTCGAGCGGGCCGTTGCGGTATGCGAGGAGCACGAGGATAGCCCGGACGGCGGCGAGGCAGCCCTGTCGCGGTCGGGCACCGATGGGTCCACCACCATGTGACGTGGCATGCATGGCATGCCATTCAGGCATGGCATGGCTCGCCTCCCTGGTGGCAAGAACACAGGGACTTTCTTGAGGATTTTTTTATTTGTTTTACTTTTCTCTATTCTCTTTGTAGGAGTATATTGTTAGAGTATTGACATGCTGTGCTGGGCAAATAGGGTCTTTCCTTGTAGAGTAGATCATTTAGTGAAAACATTTTTGCTTTGCCTAATTGGATGGCAAGAAAAGAAATGTATATATTCCTATGTTGTATGAGAATTTGCTAGTACTACTCCCTCCGTTCCTAAATATAAGTCTTTATAGAGATTCCACTATGGACTACATACGGAGCGAAATGAGTGAATCTACACTCTAAAATGCATCAACATACATCCGTATGTGGTTCATAGTGAAATCTCTCCGAAGACTTATATTTAGAAACGGAGGGTGTCGGGGGGATGAACCTCGGGCAGACAACGGAACCCAGATCCTTTTCAAAACCAACGGGACCGGCGTCGCCCTCAAGCCGGCGCGCGCTTGGCCGGGTCGCTCGACCCGGCCAGGCCCCGCGACCCGGCTGAACACTCCGACCCGGCCAGGCACCTCGACTCGGCCTCGACAAGCAGTACAAGACAGCTGAACCCGGCACGACCAAGACTTCCCCAACAAGCCAGCTCCACCCTTGGCGTGTTCCTCAACCCAGCCACGGGTCAGCTCCCGTCTCATCCAAGCCGTACGATGGGACGAGTCTTCATCCACTGATGACCGAGGCAACAGTGCCCTGCCCATGCCTCTGGTCAGCCGGAGCGTGGCAACATTGTCCCTCACCTACCCGTTGACCAGGGCAGGCGTGGCAACAGTGCCCCCGTCATCACTGCTGAAGACAACAAGCGGTGACCTGACGGAGCGCCACTGTACCCGACTCGACTCGGCCACTCCCTGACGATCGACAAGACAACGCACAGTCCCCCTAGGCACGCGGGGCCCGCACCTAGGGGAACCCGGCAAACCACAGGCCCCCGGCGGGTCCCAGCCCGGGTCCTCAAACGCTGACGACCCGGACCCACAATCTTTTAACATTACCATTGTACCCCTGGGGGTTGGCCTATAAAACCCCCCTAGGAGCCCTCACATACACGGGCAAGTAAGCAAGGACATAGAAGCAGTAAGCACACAGGAAGTAGCCACCGATCAGTAGATGATAACCCACAAGTATAAGGGATCAATTGTAGCCTCTTTTAATAAGTAAGAGTGTCAAACCCAACGAGGAGCTAAAGGTAGGACAAATATTCCCTCAAGTTCTATCGACCATCGATACAACTCTACGCACGCTTAACGTTCACTTTACCTAGAACAAGTATGAAACTAGAAGTACTATGTAGGTGTGATAGGATAGGTTTGCAAGATAATAAAGAACACGTAAATAAAAAGTAGGGGTTGTTTAGATGAAGACACAACTAAGTTAGTTTTAGTAGAGAACTTTTTGTCACGAGAAAGTTATTTGTCCCTAGGCAATCGATAACTAAACCGGTAATCACTATTGCAATTTTATTTGAGGGAGAGGCATAAGCTAACATACTTTCTCTTCTTGGATCATATGCACTTATGATTGAAACTCTAGCAATCATCCACAACTACAAAAGATCATTAAGGTAAAACCCAACCATAGCATTAAAGCATCAAGTCCTCTTTATCCCATACACAACAACCCCCTTACTCGGGTTTATACTTCTGTCACTCAAGCAACCCATTATAAAAGAATCATGAACGTATTGCAACACCCTACAGCGGGAATCCCTCACGCTTGCGCGACATAGAGAGCACCATAGGACATCACCAATAATAAAACATGCAACTCAAACCAATCACGATCATCAATTAACTCATAGGACAAAACGGATCTACTCGAACATCATAGGATAGCCATACATCGATGGGAAATAATATATAGCATTGAGCACCATGTTTAAGTAGAGATTATAGTAGGTAAAAGAGGGGTTACACAGCTGCATAGAGGGGGGAAGAGTTGGTGATGAGGGCGGTGAAGTTGTTGGTGTAGATCGCAGTGATGATGATGGCCCTGGTGGCGTTCCGACATTCCGGCGCCTCCGGAAATAAGGGGGAGAGAGCCCCCCTTCTTCTTCTTCTTCGTTGACATTCTCCCTAGATGGGAGAAGGGTTTCCCCTCTGGTCCATGGCCTCCATGGCATGGGAGGGGCAAGAGCCCCTCCGAGATTGGATCTGTCTCTCTGTCTCTCTCTGTTTCCGCGTTCTCCGATTCTGCCCTTTCACCGTTTCTTATATATCTGGAGATCCATAACTCCGATTGGATTCAAACCTTCGCCACGATTTCCCCCGAAAATTAGCTTTCTTGCGGCCAAAGAAGAGCATCAACCGCCTTACGGTGTGCCCACGAGGGTCAGGGGCGCGCCCCCTGCCTCGTGGCCCCCTCGGGCACCATCTCGCGTTGATTCTTCCTCCCAAATCTCACAAATATTCCAAAAATATTCTTCGTCCGTTTTTATCCCGTTTGGACTCCGTTTGATATGGGGTTTGTGCGAAACATAAAACATGCAACAAACAGGAACTGACACTGGGCACTGGATCAATATGTTAGTCCCAAAAATAGTATAAAAAGTTGCCAAAAATATATGCAAGTTGAATAATATTGACATGGAACAATAAAAAATTATAGATACGATGGAGACGTATCAGCATCCCCAAGCTTAATTCCTGCTCATCCTCGAGTAGGTAAATAATAAAAAAGATAATTTTTGACATGGAATGCTACCTAGCATAATCTTGATCATATATCTAATCATGGCATGAATATTAGGACATGAGTGATTCAAAGCAATAATCTATCATTTGACATTAAGACGATAATACTTCAAGCGTACTAATAAAGCAATCATGTCTTTTCAAAACAACATGGCCAAAGGAAGTTATCCCTACAAAACCATTTTGTCTGCTCCATCTTCACCACACAAAGTATTTAAATCATGCACAACCCTGGTTAGCCAAGCAATTGTTTCATACTTTAGTATTCTCAAACTTTTTCAACTTTCACACAATACATGAGCGTGAGCCATGCTTGCTAGCACTATGGGTGGAATAGAGTATGATGGTGGAGGTTATGTGGAGAAGACAAAAAGGAGAAAGTCTCACATCGACGCGGCTAATCAACGGGCTATGGATATGCCCATCAATTGATGTCAATGTGAGGAGTAGGGATATTGCCATGCAACAGGTGCACTAAGAGCTATAAGTGTATGAAAGTTCAAACTGGAAACTAAGTGGGTGTGCATCCAACTTTCTTGCTCATGAAGACCTCGGGCGTTTGAGGAAACCCATCATTGGAATATACAAGCCAAGTTCTATAATGAAAATTCCCACTAGTATATGAAACTGAAAGCATAAGAGACTCTCTATATGAAGAACATGGTCCTACTCTGAAGCACAAGTGTGGTAAAAGGATAGTAACATTGCCCCTTCTCTCTCTTTCTCTCATTTTTTTTATTTTCTCTTTTTTTGGTGGGCTTCTTTGGCCCCCCCTTTTTTTATTTGTGCTTCTTTGGCCCCTTTTTTCATAAAGTACGGAGTCTCATCCCGACTTGTGGGGGAATCATAGTATCTATCATCCTTTCCTCACTGGGGCAATGCTCTAATAATGATGATCATCACACTTTTATTTACTTACACCTCAATATTACAACTCGATACTAGAACAAATATATGACTCTATATGAATGCCTCCGGCGGTGTATCGGGATGTGCAATGATCTAGCGTAGCAATGACATCAAAAAACGGACAAGCCATGAAAACATCATGCTAGCTATCTTACGATCATGCAAAACAATATGACAATGAATGCTCAAGTCATGTATATGATGATGAGGGAAGTTGCATGGCTATGGAAATGCCATGATAGGTAGGTATGGTGGCTATTTTGAGGAAGATATAAGGAGGTTTATGTGTGATAGAGCGTATCATATCACAGGGTTTGGATGCACCGTCAAAGTTTGCACCAAGTCTCGAGCTGAGAGAGGGTAATGCACGGTACCGAAGAGGCTAGCAATGATGGAAGGGTGAGAGTGCGTATAATCCATGGACTCAACATTAGTCATAAATAACTCACATACTTATTGCAAAAAATTATTAGCCATCAAAACAAAGTACTACATGCATGCTCCTAGGGGAAGGGTTGGTAGGAGTTAACCATCGCGCGATCCCGACCTCCACACAAAGCATGACAATCAAAAAATAAATCATGCTCCGACTTCATCACATAACGGTTCACCATACGTGCATGCTTCGGGAATCACAAACCTCTACACAAGTATTTCTACTAATCCATAGTCACCCACTAGCATGACTCTAATATCACCACCTTTATATCGCAAAACTATTGCAAGGAATCAAACATATCATATTCAGCGATCTACAAGTTTATGTAGGATTTTATGACTAACCATGTGAATGACCAATTCTTGTCATCTCTCTAAATAGATATAAGTGAAGCAAGAGAGTTTAATTCTTTCTACAAAAGATATTCCCATGCTCTAACCAATATAAGTGAAGCAAAAGAGCATTCTACAAATGGCGGTTTTCTATGTGAAGAGAAACAGACAATCCAAACTTCAAATGATATAAGTGAAGCGCATGAAGCATTCTATAAAGCCATACTCAAAAGATATAAATGAAGCGCAATGAGCATTCTATAAATCAATCAAGGACTATCTCATACCAGCATGGTGCATAAAATAAAAGTGAAAACTAAATGCAAAAGACGCTCCAAGACTAGCACATATCGCATGAACGAAACGAATCTGCAAACATACCGATACTTGTTGAAGAAAGAGGGGATGTCTTCCGGGGCATCCCCAAGCTTAGACGCTTGAGTATCCTTGAATATTTACTTTGGGTGCCTTGGGAATCCCCAAGCTTGAGCTCTTGCCTCTCTTCCTTTTCCTCATATCGAGACCTCCTCGATCAAACACTTCATCCACACAAAACT